GTATAAAGAATATCTACCAGCTTATCTGTAACAATTTATTTACTGTACATTGTAGAAAGTGAAAAAAGAGAAAAATTAAAGTATTTCAAGATAATATAAGATGTTTTTTCTCCACAAAAGTCAAATAACAGATAGTATATAAAATTAATTTCAAAGAAAAACAAAATTGTTGTAGCAGTGTAATACAAATTAAAGAAATAAAGTTAATATATTGCAGTATAATAATAAATAGTTTGAATTTTCAACACAATTGCAGAAAGAGCATAGATTGAAAGAGTAGTCAGATAATGTTACTAGATAAGATCTGAAATATTTAGAATCAAGGTTTAATCAGCAAATAGTTGAGCATATGTTCTTATATAAAAAGACAAATAAGAGAACAAGCTATAATAGAGTAGTATAAAGATGTTTTTAATAGAGAAAGCTTTGCAAACTACTACTCTCAATTTAAAATAAAAGTCAGATAGAAAGTATTAGCTCTGTCTATATCTGAGAAGATATGGTCAACTATTTGCTAATTAAAGGTTGATTATAAATATTTCAGATGTTATGTAGTAAGATTGTCTGACTACTCTTTCAATGTATGCTCTTTCAGTAATTGTGTTGAAAATTCAAAGTATTTATTATTACACTGCTACAAGAATTTTGTTTTTCTTTGAAATTAATTTTATATAGTATGTGTTATTTGACTGTTGTGGAGAAAAAACATGTTATATTATCTTGAAATAGTTTAATTTTTCTCTTTTATCAGTTTGTACAATGTACAGTAAATAAATTGTTACAGATAAGGTGGTAGATATTCTTTATAGTCACTGAGTAGATAAGACTATAATGAATAATAATAATAATAACAATAATATGATGGTAGATGTTGAAGCAATTGTTATAGTTAGATTTTAATATTATTAGTATTATTATTATATATTATAGTATTATGTAGTCAGTGATTATAAAGAGTATGTAGCAGATTTTCTGATAGAATTTAGTTAGTATAGATTGTAAAAGATGAAAAATAGGAAAAATTCAAGTAGTTCAAGACAATATAAAATGGATTTTCTTGACAAAAGTCAGATAACAGATAGTAGACAATATTAAATTTCAAGAAAAGCAAATATTATTATAGTAATATAATATAAATAGAGAGAGAATAAAATTCAAGTGTTTGGTTCCGGCAGTATATAGATTTTAATATTAATATATAAGGCAAATAGTGAGTAAGACAGCAGATGCAAAAGTTGATATATTATAACAAAAATAGAGTGATTTTCAGCAGGTCAGCAAGAGAATTTGAATAAGAGTATTTTCATAAGCATATAAGTAATGGTTATAGAGTTATGGGCAGATATGTAGTTGTAACAGAAATTTAAAGTTGAACAGAATTATTTTATATATTAAGATGATATTTATATTTGTATTTGTATTTATATTTATATTCATGTATAAGGCAAATAGTGAGTAAGACATAAGATTTAAAAGTTAATATATTGTTACAAAAGTAGAGATATTGTAAGCAGATCAGCAAGGTGATTCAAATGATAGTAGTGTTATATTTATACAATTAATGGTTGTTGAGGTATTGTTAAAAATGTAGATGTAACAGAAATTCAAAATAGATTAGGAATATTTTTTACAGTAATTAAAATTGTAATTTCCATTAAATAGGATTTTTCTCGACAAGTAATTGAGATATGGTAACAAGAGTAAGGATTTTATAAGCAGGTCAGCAGGAGAATTCAAGCAGTAGTAATTTCATGTGTATAGAATTAATAGTTGTTGGATTATGATTGAATATGTAGATGTAATGGAAATTCAGATTGAATTAGGAAGATTTTTCATGGTAGGTAAAATTGTAATTTCTGTTACAAGTCAGGATTGTATTTGTAGTGATATTATATAGAGTGAGTATTATAAAGATGTAGCAAAAATTTCAAGTTAATTGGTGTTATTTTCCACATAGGGTTGATAGTTGTAGTTGTAGTTGTATTCGTATTCGGATTTCCTGTCGTATTTGTATTGGGATTGTAGGGTTAGGGTTAGGCAGTGAAGTAGATTTTTAAGCAGGGTCAGCAGGGTTAGGGTTCTGCTAGGCACTGTGGTGGATTCAGCGCCGTCTATAGGCCAAATACTGACTAAAACATAACATCCAAAAGTTGATATATTTTAACGAAAATACGCTCATTCTAACCGGCTCAGCGAGACGATTCGAACGGTGGTACTCGCATATCCATACGATTGATGGTTGTTGAGTTATTGGCAAATATGTGGATGTAACAGAAATTCAAATTGGGTTAGCGTGAAAAATGACGCTAACCAAATTCGTAATTTCTGTTACATGCCCTTTTTCTCCACAACCAATAGGCAGTTTCAATTAAGAGTACCACCAAAAGAATCCTCCCAGTGAGACCTTTCTGGTATCCAAAAATTTTGAATCAATTCCGTCTATTGAGGTTGCAGGAGGTGCATGATGTTGTGGTGAATTTGGTGATGTTCCTGTCGCGGAATTTTGTTGGGTTGGAAAAATAATTATCCAACACCAACCTCAGACCAACAGTTCAAGTGTGCTACTAGTGATTTACCAACAGGCAAAGCTGACAACGGTCAAAATTGATGATGGCCAAAATTTACAACAGTCAAAATTGACGACCAAAATTTACAACAGTCAAAATTGACAACAGTAAAAATTGACAAGCAAAATTGACAACAGTAAAAATTGACGACCAAAATTTACAATGGTCAAAATTGACAGTCAAAATTGACAACAGTAAAAATTGACAACAGTAAAAATTGACAACCATAAAAATTGACAACCAAAATTTACAATGGTCAAAATTGACAGTCAAAATTGATGATGGTAAAAATTGACGAGCAAAATTGACAACAGTAAAAATTGACGACCAAAATTTACAATGATCAAAATTGACAGTCAAAATTGATGATGGTAAAAATTGACGACCGTAAAAATTGACGACCAAAATTTACAATGGTCAAAATTGATGATGGCCAAAATTGACAGTCAAAATTGACAACAGTAAAAATTGATGATGGTAAAAGTTGACGACCAAAATTTACAATGGTCAAAATTGACGGTGAAAATTGACAATGGTAAAAATTGACAGTCAAAATTTTCAATGGTCAAAATTGACAGTCAAAATTTACAATGGTCAAAATTGATGGTCAAAATTGATGACCAAAATTTACAATGGTCAAAATTGACGGTCAAAATTGACAACAGTAAAAATTGACAACTGTAAAAATTGACAACCAAAATTTACAATGGTCAAAATTGACGACAGCCAAAATTGACAGTCAAAATTGATGACAGTAAAAATTGACGACCAAAATTTACAACAGTCAAAATTGACGACAGTAAAAATTGATGACCAAAATTGATGATAATAAAAAGTGACAACCAAAATTTTCAATGGTCAAAATTGACAGTCAAAATTTACAATGGTCAAAATTGATGGTCAAAATTGACAATGGTAAAAATTGACGACCAAAATTTACAATGGTCAAAATTGATGGTGAAAATTGACAATGGTAAAAATTGACAGTCAAAATTTTCAATGGTCAAAATTGACAGTCAAAATTTACAATGGTCAAAATTGATGGTCAAAATTGATGATGGTAAAAATTGACAACCAAAATTTACAACAGTCAAAATTGACGACGGTAAAAATTGACAACCAAAATTGATGATGGTAAAAATTGACAACCAAAATTTACAACAGTCAAAATTGATGATGGTAAAAATTGACGACTGTAAAAATTGACAACTGTAAAAATTGACGACCAAAATTTACAATGGTCAAAATTGATGGTCAAAATTGACAACAGTAAAAATTGACGAGCAAAATTGATGACGGTAAAAATTGACGACCAAAATTTACAATGGTCAAAATTGATGGTCAAAATTGACAACAGTAAAAATTGACGACCGTAAAAATTGACGACCAAAATTTACAATGGTCAAAATTGACAACAGCCAAAATTGATGGTCAAAATTGATGACAGTAAAAATTGACAAGCAAAATTGATGATGGTAAAAATTGACAACCAAAATTTACAATGGTCAAAATTGACGGTCAAAATTGACAATGGTAAAAATTGACAACAGTAAAAATTGATGACTGTAAAAATTGACAACCAAAATTTACAATGGTCAAAATTGACAACGGCCAAAATTGACAGTCAAAATTAACAACAGTAAAAATTGACAACAGTAAAAATTGACGACCAAAATTTACAATGGTCAAAATTGACAGTGAAAATTGATGATGGTAAAAATTGACGGTCAAAATTGACAATCAAAATTTACAACAGTCAAAATTGACAACAGTAAAAATTGACAACCAAAATTGACAACAGTAAAAATTGACGACCAAAATTTACAATGGTCAAAATTGACAGTCAAAATTGATGATGGTAAAAATTGACGACCGTAAAAATTGACGACTGTAAAAATTGATGACCAAAATTTACAATGGTCAAAATTGATGACGGCCAAAATTGACAACCAAAATTTACAATGGTCAAAATTGATGGTCAAAATTGATGACGGCCAAAATTGACGACCAAAATTTACAACAGTCAAAATTGACGACAGTAAAAATTGATGACCAAAATTGATGATGGTAAAAATTGACGACCAAAATTGATGATGGTAAAAATTGACTACCAAAATTTACAACAGTCAAAATTGACAATGGTAAAAATTGACAATGGTAAAAATTGACGACCAAAATTTACAACGGCCAAAATTGACAGTCAAAATTGATGATGGTAAAAATTGACAACCAAAATTTACAACAGTCAAAATTTACAACAGCCAAAACTGATGATAATCAAAATTGATGGCAAACATTCACAGTCAATTTCCCTGCCGCATCAAGCAAATGAAGAAAGATAAACAAGCACAAAATCTTGAAATTAGAATCAATTTCCATCTCTGCATTAGTTATTGGTTTTTGAATTTCACTGTTGGTGCTGCACTACCAGAATCAATATGGCTGAAGTAGCTGCTCTTCATGATTTGCTTGTGCCCATCTGTCCTGTTTCTGCTGTGCATGTTGATATATCTGTTCAAATTCTCTATCAACAACCCACATAAGTAACTCAGCTGTTGAGAGGGTCTGCCTCATGGTCACCAGCTCTTGATCTTCTTCTTCAGTCATGGGCATTCCATTCTCTGAGTCCTCATCAGAGTTGATGTTATAGATATCTGGCATTAGCTGGATGAAGCTGGCCATCTCTGGAGACACTGCTAGTGTCTTTTCTCTTCTTGCCTTCTGCTGTCAGTCCATCATTGCCTGCACAAAAGGCCATTTGAAGTGGAAGGGAGCAGTTGAACCAGGAAGTTGGTGCTTGAAGTAGCATCTGTTTCCTTGGGGACAATGAAGGTACTCTGTCTTATACCCATTCTCTCTCCATTTCTCAACACTGGCTTCAAAAAACCAGCACAGTGTTTTCTTTTGACATCTCAGATACTGCTTGATTATGGCTGAGTGCTTGTCTTCAGTAAGTGGCCACACTGAGACCATCACAACAAAATAGATGGGGGAACAACACAGTGGGCAACATTCTCTGTTTTTGAGTAGGTTGTTGCCTGGTACCCAGGGCAATCCATCCTTGTCCTGTTCTTGAATGATTGTAATGCACTCTGTGGACCTCCATCAGCATCAGTGTTGCAACAAGCACATCATCAAACAGAGTCTCTCACCTGGACAAATGTAATGGATGCAGTTTGATAGTACTGGAAAGATTGTGGGTATTGTTGTCTCTCTGCAGACAGGACACTCATACATGTGGCCTAACTCTGTGCTCCAGTCAGCCCTGGTCAAGAAAATTGCCGTGGGATAGGACTCTTGAGCCCATATCTTTGCCATGCTTATCCTGCAAGGTGTGTTTCTTTTCTGCTGGAACATGTCTGAACCAGCATTTTGTTTCTTGAATGCAGTTCCCCCTCAGCCAGAACTTGCAGTGGACTATCTTCTTTTTTTTAATTTCACTTGAGGTGTCATCTCCAGATGCTTGTGTTGACAGGCTGTGCTGGAACTTGCAGTGGTCACTAAGCTGGCATTTTCCACAAATCCAGTATCTGCAGCTCATGCTGCTCAGCTGCAGTGCCTGGATGGGCAGGCAGGCACTTAGTGAAGCAATGAAAATGTGATAGAAGCTGGATCAGCAGTGGTTGGCAAGATATTGTGGGGCAGGCCTCAGATGGCTTTTTGATGTGTAGAATCAAGAAGAGACTGAGGAGCAAAAACAATGATGAGTTACCAATCACAGCAAATGGCATTTCTCATGAGGGTCCAATATGATCATGGGGTCAGAGAAATCCTGTAATGTTTACATTCTTTTTATATTAACACTTTGCTTCAGGCTTTGCTTCTCACCCACAACATTTCTGATTCTGACAATCTTCTCAACCACAATTGCATTGACTTTGAAATCTCTTGATTGTCTCTTCCAGTATTCCATAGCTGCATTGTAAGTTCAGAACACCCATCACTCACTTAAGCATTGTAAGGCACCAAGATCAGGGCTGACTGAACATCTGAAGGTGCTGAACCACTATCAAGAACTATCATGAGAGATTGAGCAGCTGTCCAGCATCAAGAATCATGTGTCACAAAGTCAAGGTCCCACTTCATTTTGCAAAGATAGTAAAATTCAAAAAGGTTCACTCTGCCACTGTCTCATTTCTGCATGACATCAGATCAAGAAACACTGACATGATATTTCTCCCAGTACAACATGATAACAATGAATGAGACTCATGCCAAAGCCATGCTTGGCTTGACAGCAGAGGAGCTACTTGATCTGAAAAAGATCATGCAAGAGCTTCACAACAAGAAGATCCAGGGCCTTATCCATCAAGTGGTAGCTAAGAGGGTGCTGAAGGAGAGCTAGATTGCTGTGGTGGAGTGTGCCATTTCTCAAGAGAGCTTTGCCAACAAGGTCCTGCAGGCCTGGGAGAGCAAGTCTAATCATGAGAATATCTGTGGGGTGCTTGTGTGGCTTCTTGTGCAGGTCCAGTATCAGAAAACAAGACAACAGTGGTATGGCATCCAGCAAGATTCATCCCCTGAGCCTGTGAGCCCCTGGATTTCCTCATCAACATCTGTTCAGCAGCCATTGTTGGCTACAGCTGTCTCCAGACCAACATCTTCTCTCTCTGCACTTGAGTCTCTTGAGACCTGTCTCACTATGTTAAGCACTCTGTGGTATGTGCCAGGTTTGGCCAAGCCTCTGATGTCTGTGGCCAAAGAACTCTACTGAGTCATTATCTTCACCAGAAACACAGTCTCTGGCTCTGTGTTGGTCTGCCAGATTAATGAATTGCTGTTACATTGCATGCTAGACAGGCAGGGAACACTCTCTGAGAAGAATTGAACAGAGTAGCAGAGTATTCTGACTGCTGACTGTGAATTTTGTTGTGACTCTCAGACCATCAAGAGCCCAGATGAGCAGGTCACCATCATCAACAAGTGACTGTGGCAATCAGTGTGTATGATGCAGCTGGAGAAGATTCTGAGCAAAGAAACAAATGAATCTCTAACCCTCAAGTTTATGATCACTGCCCAGGACACAGAGCCCACCCATATGTGTGAAATTCAAAAAAGACAAATTGAGTCAGTCACCAGCCCCAACAATGATGGGAACATGTCTGAAGGCCCAGAGACAGAGTTCTTAGATGATGATGGGCACCATGATATGCTTGCAACCTGCTGATGCTGGATCACCACATGCTTGCCATCTTCTGCCACACTGTCTTTCTCTTGTCCTCTCTCTCAATACAATCAAGATAGTCCCCAGGACAGCATGTGTGTGGACATGACTGTTGATGAGCCACATTGTGACCGCGAGGATGGCTTCAATGGAATTGATAGCATGGCTAGCCACCCAGACACTTCAATGGACTTGGACACCATGATAGATCCACCAAACCCAGGCACTGTGCCCACTGCCTCTACTGAAGCTCAGGATTCTCAGGATGGCCCAACCCAGGTCATGGATGACTGTGAATGTGACTCCACACCTGCACATATTGTGGTTGAGTGGCTGGTTTCAAGAACAACATCAGCACCAACCAAGAATAGTGAAATTCAAAATGAATACCTGCCAGCTTCACCCAGTGAAATTCAAAAAGAGTGCTGCTCCCCAGATGTTGAGATGATTAATGGTGATGACACTTTACTCTTGGACACAGGTTATGAGTTTCTTGATAAGGTGACACAACTGGGACCTGAGCCACAAACCAGTGATGAGAGCAACACTGAGCAAGTTGACCTGGCAGAACTCATCAAGTCTGGCAGATTTCAATGTGAGCAGATGGACAGCCAAACATGGTGGGATTTCACCAGTTTCTTCATGCTCCTGCAGAATGAAAATGATGGCACAGACCCAACCAGGAAGATTCTTATCCATGGCATGCTGTGAGACACCCCACCTCACCAGCTGTACTGTGCATTCTGGATGCTTCTCAAGAATCAAGGATTAGAGCAAGGTGGATTCATTGCTGACAAGATGGGAATTGACAAAACCATGGAGATGATATTGTACTTTGTCCTGGGTGCCTGGATTATCTACAACTGCCTGTACATCAAACAGTGCTGTAAGAATCCAGCAATGGCCAACAAGCACCTCCCTGCAGTCATGGACACAGAAGAAGGACACAAGGGTCCAAAGCAGCATCATCTAAAATGTTCCTCTCAGAATATGTTCCTCATTCTGTATGCCTGTATTCCAGACAGGGTGACTGCATGCTGTCTGAGTCAACCACTGCAAGATGCAATGCTGGTGGTAGTGCCCAAAGATCTCCTTCTCCTGTGGGTGAGAGAGTGGGCCAACTTTATCTCTGGTGACTCAGGGAACTGTCTGAAACTGAATCTCTTCATTGGCCATGGAGACTTGACTCCCACAAAGGTTGGCAACTTGGGCCATGTGTTCATACAGACTGCACAGCATGTGATGCTGAGACAACATGACCTGGGTCCCCAGCAGTGTTATTGGCACATGTTCCTGACCACCCCAGGCTCACTCTCCAGCCATGTGATGATATCTCTCCATGATATTCAGAAACAAGATGCCCAGCAATTGCAATGGCAAGCTGTGATCTGAGATGAATGCCACCAGGAGAAGGGCTTTGACAGCAAGACCATCAGGCAGTTTCAAGAGATTAACTCAGCTGCAGGGAAGCAAGGCTATGCCCCAGCCACCTGGCTGCTCTCCAGGACACTGTACAATAAAGGACTGACAGACATGCTCTTCTGGATGACAATACTGGCTACTGCCAGATGGGAAAATGACACCAGACTGCAATTTGCCCAACATGATCAATGGAAGATTCTCTCAGCCAGAGTGCAGCTACTGATCAGCAAGAAGCAGCTGTTCAGAACAGACCAGATTGAGTTCTGGTCAGCAGCACACCAGTTTGGTCAGGTGCTCAAGTATCTGATGATTCACCACACCACTGAGACAAGTTGGTTCAACAAACCCATCATGGAGCTGCCCCCCAACTGCCATCATGATGTTCTCTGCAGCCTAGAGCCCAAGATCAGAGACAAGCTCCAGTGGTGTGAGGAGTGTGAAATTCAAAAACTAAAAGACAGCTACATGAGAAGCTTGCAGGAATGGAAGAAGCATGGTCAAGGATCTAAATCTGAGCTTTCCAGCCAGACTTTTTTCAAGAAGTTGCGCATAAACTGGATCATTGCCATCTTTCCAGCTCTTCTGGACCTCATGAAGACTGAGCAATGTGAGCTCAAGCTTACTGATGAGGAGATGATGAAGAACAGGTGGCATGCTGGTGGGGACAAGGAGGCACTGTACATTCATGCAATCAATGCCCTGGCCAATTCCAGCTCCAAGTGTCATGCAATTCAACACATCCTGCAGGGCATGGGGAGAGACTATCATGGGCGCCCAGAGAAGATTGTTATCCTGACAGAATTCCCCTGTGTGGTTCACATACTTGAGATGGTAGGTTGCTGTGTCTCCTTTCCTTGTGTTTTCTTCCCTGGCTAACTTTCCACACAGTGGCTGCAGAAGCAAGGCTACTGTGTTGCAGCAGTCTATAGCAGTATGAGTGTTGAGGACTGAGATACATGCATCAATGCCTTCAATCAGAATCTGCCACTGCCTGGAGGTGAGACTGATGCAAGTCCAGGCATCCTGATCAGCACCCTGGAGATCCTAGGTGTGGGCTATACCTGTGTTCATGCCTTCTGACTTATCCTGCTGAGCCCGAGCTGGTTGGAGAGGGATAAGGCTCAAGGCAAGGCACACATCTGCTGCTATAGGCAGATGAACAAGGCCACATACACCTACTGCCTGGTGTGCAGAGATGTCCAGGTTGAAAGCAACATTCTTGACTAGCAGGCAATGTGGAAGAGTTTCAATGAACTGGCCATGTTGCTGCAGAGAGAGGTTGGTATAGTTCCAGACATCATTGATCTGGATACAGTATGAGGCCCAGTGTGGCCGCATGGCCATGAAATTTAAAAAGAAACACCCAAGGATCATGCAGCACTTCTGTCAAGATGACTGGATATTATTAGGGATATATGGAACAACCATGACTGTTTGCTCTAGACCATTTGTTCTGCAGAGTTGAATAGATCAGTAGTTAGATCTAATCAAAGCAATTTTAGCTGAAAGCCATTCATTGTATCTTCCACTGTAGTTGTGTCCATGCTGAATACTCAGCAGTCAGATGTGCTGATGAGCCTTCAGCCTGGTGACAGTGCAACTGGCTAATATTAGCATTCTACCAAGTTTGTGCCGGCATATCCACTGATGCCATTGAGGCTGTTGGTGGAGTGTGCGTGGCCTTTCATCCAAGGAGAGGATCCCCTCGCCCAGAGATATGCAAGATGTGTTATGACATGGCAATGCTGAGTCTCTTTTGCCAGCCTGGAGCTTGAGACACTGCTGAAGCTCCACAGTCTTTGAGCATGGCGCAGCAGAACATCTGAATGTGTTTGATTTGGGGTGCTTATGGTGATGCTGGCTCTCCCTGATCAATCCTAACCACTGATGTTGGCCACCAACATCAGCTAACACCAATACCAACTGGAACACAGTTCCTCCAAAGCATGAGGCCACAGACTATTGGCTGTGAGTGTTGACCACCAATTTCTACCATCAATTTTCATCGTCATCAATTTTGACCAACGGTTTTCAATGAGCTGAACCTGTTGCGGATGCACAAGATGTGTTTTAACCATTGAGTTTGGCCGTCAATTTTGACTGTCAATTTTCGCCATCATCAATTTTGACTGTCAATTTTTACCGTCGTCAATTTTGACCATTGTCAATTTTGGTTGTCAATTTTTGCCATCATCAATTTTGACCATCAATTTTTACCGTCATCAATTTTGACCATCATCAATTTTGACTGTTAATTTTTACCGTTGTCAATTTTGACCATCATCAATTTTGACCGTCAATTTTTACCATTGTCAATTTTGACCATCATCAATTTTGGTTGTCAATTTTCGCCATCATCAATTTTGACCATCAATTTTTACCGTCGTCAATTTTGACCATCATCAATTTTGACTGTCAATTTTTACCGTCGTCAATTTTGACCATCATCAATTTTGGTTGTCAATTTTCACTGTCAATTTTCGCTGTCAATTTTCGCTGTCAATTTTTACCATCGTCAATTTTGACCATCAATTTTTACCATCATCAATTTTGACCATCATCAATTTTGACTGTCAATTTTTACCATTGTCAATTTTGGTCGTTAATTTTCACTGTCAATTTTCGCTGTCAATTTTCGCTGTCAATTTTTACCATTGTCAATTTTGACCATCGTCAATTTTGACTGTCAATTTTTACCATCGTCAATTTTCGCTGTCAATTTTGGTCGTCAATTTTCGCTGTCAATTTGGTTCGTCAATTTTGACTGTCAATTTTCGCTGTCAATTTTTACCATCATCAATTTTGACCATCATCAATTTTGGTCGTCAATTTTCGCCATCGTCAATTTTGACTGTCAATTTTTACTGTTGTCAATTTTGACCATCATCAATTTTGACCGTCAATTTTTACCATCATCAATTTTGACCATCATCAATTTTGGTCGTCAATTTTCACTGTCAATTTTCGCTGTCAATTTTCACTGTCAATTTTTACCATTGTCAATTTTGACCATTGTCAATTTTGACCATCAATTTTTACCGTTGTCAATTTTGACCATCATCAATTTTGACTGTCAATTTTTACCATTGTCAATTTTGACCATCGTCAATTTTGGTCGTCAATTTTCACTGTCAATTTTCGCTGTCAATTTTCGCTGTCAATTTTTACCATCATCAATTTTGGTTGTCAATTTTGACCGTCAATTTTTACCATCGTCAATTTTGACCGTCAATTTTTACCATCGTCAATTTTGACCGTCAATTTTCACCATTGTCAATTTTCGCTGTCAATTTTCACCATCATCAATTTTCACTGTCAATTTTCACCATCGTCAATTTTCGCTGTCAATTTTGGTCGTCAATTTGGTTCGTCAATTTTGACTGTCAATTTTCGCTGTCAATTTGGTTCGTCAATTTTGACTGTCAATTTTCGCTGTCAATTTTTACCATCATCAATTTTGACCATTGTCAATTTTGGTCGTCAATTTTCGCCATCATCAATTTTGACTGTCAATTTTTACCGTCGTCAATTTTGACCATCATCAATTTTGACCGTCAATTTTTACCATCGTCAATTTTGACCATCATCAATTTTGGTTGTCAATTTTCACTGTCAATTTTTGCTGTCAATTTTCGCTGTCAATTTTTACCATCATCAATTTTGACCATCGTCAATTTTGACCGTCAATTTTTACCGTCGTCAATTTTGACCATCATCAATTTTGACCGTCAATTTTTACCATCATCAATTTTGACCATCGTCAATTTTGGTCATCAATTTTCACTGTCAATTTTCGCTGTCAATTTTCGCTGTCAATTTTTACCATCGTCAATTTTGGTTGTCAATTTTGACCGTCAATTTTTACCATCGTCAATTTTGACCGTCAATTTTTACCATCGTCAATTTTGACCGTCAATTTTCACCATTGTCAATTTTCGCTGTCAATTTTCACCATCGTCAATTTTCACTGTCAATTTTCACCATCGTCAATTTTCGCTGTCAATTTTGGTCGTCAATTTGGTTCGTCAATTTTGACTGTCAATTTTCGCTGTCAATTTGGTTCGTCAATTTTGACTGTCAATTTTCGCTGTCAATTTTTACCATCATCAATTTTGACCATCGTCAATTTTGGTCGTCAATTTTCGCCATCGTCAATTTTGACCATCAATTTTTACCATCGTCAATTTTGACCCTCATCAATTTTGACCATCAATTTTTACCATCATCAATTTTGGTCGTCAATTTTCACTGTCAATTTTCACTGTCAATTTTTGCTGTCAATTTTTACCATCATCAATTTTAACCATCATCAATTTTGACTGTCAATTTTTACTGTTGTCAATTTTGACCATCATCAATTTTGACTGTCAATTTTTACCATTGTCAATTTTTGCTGTCAATTTTGGTTGTCAATTTTTGCTGTCAATTTTGGTCGTCAATTTTCGCCATTGTCAATTTTGACCATCAATTTTTACCATCATCAATTTTGACCCTCATCAATTTTGACCGTCAATTTTTACCATTGTCAATTTTGACCATCGTCAATTTTGGTTGTCAATTTTCACTGTCAATTTTCGCTGTCAATTTTTGCTGTCAATTTTTACCATTGTCAATTTTGACTATTGTCAATTTTGACTGTCAATTTTTACTGTTGTTAATTTTGACCATCATCAATTTTCACTGTCAATTTTCGCTGTCAATTTTTACCATCGTCAATTTTGGTTGTCAATTTTCACTGTCAATTTTCGCTGTCAATTTTCGCTGTCAATTTTTACCATCGTCAATTTTGACCATCGTCAATTTTGACTGTCAATTTTTACCATCGTCAATTTTCGCTGTCAATTTTGGTTGTCAATTTTCGCTGTCAATTTTGGTCATCAATTTTGACTGTCAATTTTTGCTGTCAATTTTGGTCGTCAATTTTGACTGTCAATTTTCACTGTCAATTTGGTTCGTCAATTTTGACTGTCAATTTTTGCTGTCAATTTTTACCATCGTCAATTTTGGTCGTCAATTTTGACCGTCAATTTTTACCATCATCAATTTTGACCGTCAATTTTGACCATCAATTTTGACCATCGTCAATTTTGGTCGTCAATTTTGACCGTCAATTTTTACCATCGTCAATTTTGACCGTCAATTTTCACCATTGTCAATTTTCGCTGTCAATTTTGACCATCATCAATTTTGGTCGTCAATTTTTACTGTCAATTTTGACTGTCATCAGGTTTGACTGTTGTCAATTTTGACCGTTGTCAATTTTGACCGTCGTCAATTTTTGCTGTTGTCAATTTTGGTTGTCAATTTTGGTCATCAATTTTGGTTGTCAAGTTTTACTGTCAATTTTGATCATTGTCAATTTTTTACCATCAATTTTGACTGCTGGTTTCCATCTGCAAACATTGACTGCAAGATGTATTCTCTGAATTGGATGACAGAAGTCTGTGTTTTATTATTTGCACTTCTTCTCTTCTATAGATCTGTTCTCTTCAGCTTTCCCAGGAGATAGAATTATCTTGAATCCACTACACTGTCTTCTTTTACTCTCATTCTGATGTTTTCAGCATGGTATTTCCTGCTACTGTGATTTGCTAGTGGATGCATATAATCCAAGCCAGAATTGCCAAATTTTATGCAGCATGTCTGGCAGTTGCTTCACAGGCAAAGTATCTGATCAGCTTGGAACAACTATTTCTCTAAGTCAGCTTAATAGGCTGCTTCCCTCCTGCTGCACTGTATATGAAACCTTTCCCAAACCACCTTATTGAGTTTATAGCACTTGTCCAAGCATGCTAGGGTGCCTGGAAGCTATTCTCATTCTTGTTGTCTTAGCTGCCCTTGTGCAATTGATTTCAGGTGCTGGTCACTTAGGTGAATCTGACAGTAGTCATCTGGTACTGGATCACCTCTCCTGTGGTTAAATGTTAGTTTACAAGACCAGACTGCCCCAT